TGGTGGGATACTCTCTTAGACCTTGCTGAAGAGGCCGGCACTCTAAGGATGGTGGAGCCACAAGACGTTTTAAACAAACACTGGGGCAATGAGGATGACTTCTTGAAGTAGAGCTGCCGTAACAGCTCGGGGTTTTATGTGAGCGAGTAAGAAACTTCTATCTTGTCTAAGCCACTGTTATTTTGGGCTTCTGTCACACAGGCAAAGCTATATACACTGTTCCCACATATTTTGTTTATAAAATATGTTAGTAGTTGCTTTTTATAACTGCAAACTTGAAAGGACCAAGTGATCATGCGTCATAGATATCTAAACTTCTTCAAAGGACCTATTTTTTTGTTGTTGTTGTTTTAATTGGACTAGTTCATGATTATCAGCTGAAGAAAACAATACAGTAATCTCATCTGGCTCTTCTCTGAGAAACTTAAAGATTTGAGACACAGAATCCTTATGCTGATTTTTGAAGAAACCGAAGTTTGAGAAAAGAGAGAAAGCTAAATTATTCAGCTTTCTACTTTGCTTCTAGTCACCAAATGTTTTTTTCAATTTGCCCATATTTTGTATTTCATAGTTGTCAAATCCCAAAGTCCACTTTTAGTTCCCAGTGGGAAGTGGCTCCCTGTGCCATTTGATACTGTTTACTATTCCCCCTTGTGGAAACTGTCATCCCTGAGCCTCTAGGATGTCGCAGCCTTGCAGTTTGGCCCTCTGCCCCTGCCCCAGCCCCTGCCCTCTCTCTGGTCTCCTTCACCGAATCTTCTCTAACCCTTCTCTTTTTTGTGGGTGTACTCTGATTCTTGGCTTACTGTTTCTTTTACTCTGTGTTAGGGAAATCACAAATGGACACGTTGCAGGCATGTTGTGTTGATATGGCACGGAATTTAAAGAAATATTTTATTAATTGGTAATATTAAAAAATCAGGATATTTAACATGCAATTCAGATTTCGGCTTCTCTTCATCTAGTAGAAGAGCTGATGGCACTGCACCTACATTCCCCACAGCATTAGGAGGTTGGAGCTGAGTTATTGATGCTTCCTTTAGATTGGACATGCTCTTTTTTTCTTTGTTATAGTCCCCACCATTCTCTGTTGCTTACATCTTGTTTTATTTAGTTATTTTTATTACATGCCCGATCATTTAGACATTTAAGTTTATGATGCTCATATTCTTGGGTAATTTAAATTTTAATTGATCTTTTCTAAAAGTGATTTTCCTTTTTTCCCCCCTTTCTTTTCATTTCTGATTCCTCCTTCCCATCCCTACTACCCTAATTAGACTATTTTATTGTCTCACCTAGCTTCCTTGGGTAGAACCTTAACTTAGTTTTGTGTCTCTTATATTATCCAGATCCTCTGATTATCCTCCACATTGCTTCTGGAATAGAGATCTTTCTGAAATTAAAATTTTCATATGACTGTATCCAGCCTCAGGACTTTGAGTGGCTGCCTTTTTGATGACTTCAGGCTCCTAAGCACTGGCTTCAGTGTCAAATGGTACAACCACTTTGGAAAACAGTTGGGCAGTTCCTCAAAAAGTTAAATGTAGGGTTACTATATTACCCAGCAGTTCCACTCCTGGGTATATGCCTAAAGGAGTTGAAAATATATTTCTAGACAAAAATGTGTACATGAATATTCATAGCCATTTATAATGTCCCCAAACTGGAAACAACACAAATGTCCATCAATGGATGAATAAATACAATGTGGTCTATTCACACAGTGGAATATTACTTGGCTATAAAAAAGAGTGAAGTACTGACTCATCTACAATATGGATGAACATTGAAAACTTTATGCTAGGTAAAAGAAACCTGACTTGTAAGGGTTTTTTGTAAGGTCACATATTGTATAGTTTCATTTATATGAAATATCCAGATAGGGGCCGAGGGAGGGAAAGTGGGGTGTGACTGCTGAAGGATATGGGTTTCTTTTCTAGGGTGATAAATATGTTCTAGAATTAGATAGGGCTGATGGTTTCACAGCTCTGTGAATATGCAAAAAGAAGCCACTGAATTGTACAGTTGAAAAGGGTGAATTATACCTCAAAAAACAAAAATCAGAAGACAAAGCAGATATGACTTTTGCTGATTTCTCCAGGCTCCTCTGCTGGTACTTCAGCCTTCCCACAACCCCTCTCTCCCTCGTGGTGGTGTGCGGATCTCCTAACTGCTCCGATTCCATGCCAATGCTCAGTTACCCATTTACACGCTCCTGCCAGGAAGACCCTACCTGCTCCGCCCTCCCTGATTTTCCTTTAAGTTTTAGTTCAGGTGTCGCTCCCTCTGGAATTTCTTCTTCTACAGCAGTGCTGGCTTACTTAAGATCCAGACTAGGTAGATTCTCCAGAGCCAAGCAAGAATACTCTAAGAAATAAAAAGAGATTCACTTTGATGAGCTCATCCAAATTTTGCAATCAGAAAATCTAAAAAGAAAGTCTTTTTATTTTAGTGTAAATGGAAGTGTTCATGTTTTATAGTTTTTAATTTTAATTTATTAAATTATTATTTTTTCCCTGTCACCATTTATCCCTCATATACCCTCTTCAACCTCTACCCTTAAATCAAATCGGTAGGCTCGTTGTGGGGAATCATATTTTAAAGCAAACATCCCGTCACAATCTTTATCCAGCTTTGCTGTCTGCACCTCCCTCTCCCTATCCTGTGTAGGTTAGGAGAATCTTATTTGGTGACCCCAGACACCCTGGACACCCCTTATTATCCTGAATGGTAACTATCTATTGTTTTTTTCCTGTCTCCCCATCTAGATTGGGGACTTTTGGGGGACAGTGCTTGTGTGTCTTTCATTTCTCTATCTATACAAGTAAATCCTAGTAATTCTCCATAGAAAGTGTTTGGCAAATTTTGAATAAATGAATGGACATTTTCAATGACATCAAATGCATTCGTATGGGAGAAATAGCTTGCACTTGCTTTACTGAAAATCAGAGATCTGAGACTGTTTAAGAAATGCTATGTAATTTGAGATGGCTTCATTAAAATACAACCTGATCTTTCCCTCTCTTCCCCTCCCTCCACCCCTCCCTCCCTTCCTCTACACACATACCCTTTAAAAAGCTATTTTGAAAAAGAGTACAATAAAAAAATGAGAATTTTCACTTTTCTCACAACCTATGCGCCTGAGAAAGGTGTTAGATTTAAGGCCTAAAGTGGGCATTAAAATGGCACTTTCCCCAACAGATTTTTAAAGTGTTTTCTGTATTTTTCGAAACAGTCTTCCCTCTTTATGGCAGAAAAGTCATTAAGTTAAAATTCACGTACTAACATTAACTCCCAGTTTGGATCTTTTCACTATACAGTGGCAAATAGGGGCTAGTTAATGTTTTTTTCTTTGAAAAATGTGACTGTACTTAATTATTTCTAAGTCATTCCTCACTTTTTTACCTTTGGTTTTTAAAACTAGAAATTTCTTTCCTATCCTGTAGTGTCCCATTTGGATTCTCAGAGTCAGACACTGAGACAAAAAGGGTTTGAGAGCAGGTAGTTTATGTAGGAGGCAGAGAACCCATGAGTAGGACTAGGAAAGACAGACAGTAAAGGGTGTGCACTAAGCCAGCTACCGTTTTGGGCAACTGAAGCTTAATTCTTCAGGGGAAACTGTAGAAGGCACCTCTTAGAATTGTCTCCCTGAGAAGCAAAGGGGCTGGGGCATTGTACCATAGACCCATCACTGCTCGGTTGAGGGCTGCTTCCATCCTGCTGTGAGGGACCAGAGGACACCTCTGGGCAACCAAATAGAAGTGTTGGCAGTTGGAGGTCCGTGGGCCTGCTTTCGAGTAGTAATGGTCAGGGGATGTGGGAGTCAACAGTGTCCGCTGTTATATGGAGGTGGTGCACCATAACGGAAGGAGTGCTAAATGTGAAAAGTGTCAGAATTTAAGCTAGCCTTGCTCAGACATTTACCCAGCCGTCAGATAAGTACCTACTATGTGCTAAATGCTCTGCTAGGTGACGGGATAGACCTATGTGCTTATTGAGGCACTTAGCTTTTTAAAGCTCAGGTTCTTCTTTTATAAAGATAACTTATTTTCTTCCTTTCCAAGTTGAGACATAAATGACATGATATTTTCAAGAATACTTTGGAATGTTTAAATTAGTGTTTCAAATTTATTATTATGGTATTTACCCAAATTTGCCCTAAGACAGCAGTAGGAATGTGGTCAGGCCATAAACTTGTCTCTCCTCGGGGATATGTTCGCCAGTCAGAAGCTTTTTTCACTCGGGCCGCATGCCTCTGGCCTCTGCTCCATTTGTATAAGACAGAAAATTTTTAAGTTCCCTGAAAGGAAAAAGGTACCACGGGGATGGTTATTTTTAGCCAGTTGGCAGAGAAGGGATCCCAGGGAAAGTGGATTAAAAGAACCCTAGCGTAATCGGTAGGAATTAGCAGTGTGGAAACAGGAAATTGATGAAGGAACGGTGCGTTCCAGGAGGCTTTTGCTAAGTCCACGTGGCAGAGCAGGTCACAGTCCACTTGATGCCCAGGGTAGGCTTCAAGCCTGTGGGTTGGCCGGGACATGGTGACATTCTGTCTCTACTGCTAACTAGCTGTGTTGCATCTGACTGGTTACTTCAGTTTTCCTGGCCTTTCTTTCCTTAGCTATAATTTTGGGAAAGTAGCACTACCTGTACTGTAGGATTGTTATAAGGATAAATGGGATGCGTTACACGAGGCAGTTAGAATACAGAAAATTCTCAGTCGCCTCATCCATAGCTGTTGGTTTCAGTGTAATTTCAGATTCCAAGTCATATTGCCCTACGATGCACCCAGCCCCGTGCCACACAAGGTTTTCCAGAGTATATGGCACACCGTCTGCGAGAAAAAGGGATTTACGAGGTTAAAAGAATGTGAGAAACCCTGTTCTGTACCATAGATGGACTTTATGGAGAGTCACATTAAGATATTAATAGCACTGAGGTGGCTGGGAAACGTGTTTGACTTCGTTTAATACCGTGTTTTAAATTTCTTTAATTGCCAGTTTCTCCCTCCGGCCCCTCAATGTAATACCTATTTGCATTGGATGCTTCTTGGGACGTGCTGACTTGAAGAGCTTCATGAGTTGGATCAAGCAAGTTACCAATACTTATTCATCCACATTAATATTGTTTATCAAAGTAATCACCTGAAGGACTTGTAAATGTCTTTCGATAATATGGTATTTGTTCAAAAGGTTTCTCGAGATCCTCTCTTCAGGTATGCCTCTGAGCCAATGTATGAGTCAGTCCCCACATCAGTGGTTACATGACTGTTTACATATTTCATAATTCATTTGCTATACAGAATTATATCACTTGCCCTATAATTCGTTGTAGGCCTCAGATCTGTTCACAATGATGTTTTTTTGGCCTCACTTGAGGTAATTTAAAGAACATGCCCCAGACAGCTCTGAAAGTCAACTTCCAAAAATGCTTGGAGTAGTGCCATTGTCATTAAACTAAGAGGTTAACTTTCAAGGTGAATGGTTTAAGAAGGGACAGCAGCTACTTGGATGCATATTTTCCCTGCAGAACAAATAGTTCGTCATTTTATCTTCATAAAAGGAGCGCTGAGTTCCTACTGTGTGCTTGTCCCTACGGTAGATATAGTTGATTTGGGGCATATGTTCATAACCTAGTGGGGGAGAAATAAATGTTCCAAAGTAATCATGGTCAAAGGGGATAAATCCAGTCGTAGAAGGATCGGAGAGTTATGAAAGAATGGAGGAGGGGTCTGCCTTGGGGGTCACAAAAAGCTTCCCAGCTGCAGGGGTACTTATGATGAGCCTTGATTGCCATGTGAGCAATAGAGAAAGGATATTCCAGGTGAGAGAAACCAGTGTAAGGGGGCTCAGAGATGTGAAAGAGGGTGAGGGAACTGCAACCACCTGAGGGCAAGTAGAGTGTAGGCTCCTCAGGAGCATGGGAGGTGATGAGGAGGTGATGAGGCCGGGAAGCCAGGTGGAGTCCTGACCACAAAGGGCTATGTAAGTGCTGAGTGGGGAGTATGGAGTTACTCCTCTAGAGCAGGAGTGGGGAACCTTTTTTGTGCCCAGGGCCATCTGGATACTTATAACATCATTGGCAGGCCATAGAAAAATTAGCTATGAAAAAAGCTCCTAGATTTATTGAATTTCAACTCTTGCCTGCAGTTGCCTTGGCAGGGCCAGACCAAATGATTTAGTGGGGATGTTCCCCACCCCTGCTCTAGATGGTGGAGCACCACTGATAAATTACTTTACAGAGATGGCCATTGTTGTAATTTTAAAAAGGTGGGTTTGGTAATACTCTGCAGGTGATTTGGAGTTGTGAGAGACAGGAGGCAATTGCAGAGGAGGGATGTTCCCTGGGTACCAGGTATATAGGTAGCCATAAGACATTTGCCCATTTGAGGATGTGCGTGTGTGCGTGCGTGTGTGTTTACTTGGATGAATTTATAGCCCTAAGGAGAGGGGCCCATAGAGAGGAAGAAATTGATGTTGGGAAAAGGTGACAAAGAAGTGGGAGGAAATAAGAACGCAGACCATTGTGGGAAAGTTACCCTTGAACATGGGTAGCACCCCTATTCCTGTAAGGATGAGGAATGATAATTTGAGATGTGATAAATTTAACTGCATGTACATTAAAGTCATTTACATCAGCGAACTGTCATTTAAGAAATGGGCAGGGTGAATTCCAGAAAATAAATCAAGAAAGATATCTGTTAATTGATGAATAAATTAGACAATAAGAGGTTAATGCCGTGATTAACCAGGGCAAGTTTTCATGATAATTTAATCTCTGAAAGATTATACTGTATTTTTAGTCTCTTTTTGTATGTGGAGATTTTTTAAATTAAAAAAGAGACAATTTAAAGGCACCTCGTGCATTTAAATGCCAACTATTATTTTACCTGCTAAATTTCCACGGACGCAGGTTGAATTTCTACAAGATGATCAGAAATGGGGTATAATTTGAGGTTGACTAAGAAGCATTCATTGCATGCATGGATAGTTTGAACACAAGGTAAAATGTTATCCAGACTGCTGAAGAAAACAAGTCTTATTTTGGAACATGACTTTCTTCAGCATTATAATTTATGACTTTTCGCTTGGATTCTTGCTTTTAACACACTCATATTTATATATATGCTTCAATCAAAGAAATGCATAACATTTTGCTTACACTGTCTCAGTTCTATTAGTTTTCCGCTCTTGAAATTTAGAATTCTAATTTTTCTCTCCATTGAAATACATTAAAATAAAGAACTATTTTGTATTTTCACAGTATTTTAACATTTCATATCTTCTCAGGTCTGTTTTCTAAAAATATATTAAATAATTATCCTAAATATTCAGAGGTACTGGCATTGCTTATGCTAAATATAAGTATTGTTATTAAATATTACATGTAGCAGACCCTTGGTTGCCATCGTAGCTATTATTTTTTGATATTATGGTTATCTCATTTGTAGTCTGATGGTCCCTCATCCATCTGGCTGAGGATCTCAAGGTCTTAACCTTGACTTTTGGGAGGATAAACTCTCACTCTGTACTGATGTTGTTAAGAGTTAGAACAATGAATTAGAATTGTGGCCCTGCTCAGGCAGCTGGTCCTTGTGTTTGTTGACTGACTCGTGGTTGAAAGACTCTACTGTAGGTCTAAACATCATGTTCCTGTTCAAGGTAGAAAAAAAGGGTGTGGGGCAGGGAAAGGACAGTGCCAGGCATGTGTGTCCTGTTTAGAATTCTTTAGAGACACTTCCTCAGCAGGTTTCTGCCGAGACCTCATTGTCCACCCCTAGGTAAGGAGAGTTTAGAAAGTGAATATTTACTTTCCCAACATTTATTGGGGGAGACAGCAAAGGGGAAGGTGGTAGAGAATGGATTCGGTTAGCCAATTAGCAGTGTTTGCCAAAGGTGAGGAGCTCAAGTCCTGTTTAGCTCCAACCTTTGCATTTCTATATCAACGTAAGGCTGTCTTACCTGGAAAGCAACCTTTTTAGTGTCCTTACCTGCAGGCCTAGGAGAAACATTTTTGGCCTCTCTCTAGACTTTACTTTTAATTCGTAAGTAAAGCCATGAGACAGCCCTTTCTGGAGGAGAGGATCCATCCTTCAGTATCAGTCTAGGTAGACCCATCCAGGAATTAAGACACAACTCTGAAATTGAAAGGGAACCTCCATTAACAGCATCTCAGTACCAAGCATGGCTGCTGGGAAAGCTCCTGTAAAAAAAATCAAATTGGCAAGGAAGAAAGTAATCCAAGACTGTTAATACCTTTTTATCTGAATAATTTAAATAAGTAGAGCTACATGTATTACTGGTTGTTTTCTGGTTGGTGTGGGATCGTATATCAAGACTCTTTGTTTGAAATATGTTAGTTTCTTTCTTTACTACTAAAAAAATATTAGAAAATAGTGAAATTTAAGCAAACTCTCTGATCTTGGACCACTTGGGAGCACTGAGAAGGGATCTGAAGTGACAATATTTCCAAAATTCATGCCTAGGATTATGTCTCAATCTTGCACTATCACACCTGCAAAAATAAAATATTTATGATTCTCTAGGCATAGAATAATTTTTTGTTTTGACTTTATGAGAATAATTTTTAAATGATAAAAAATTTGCAGTGCATATAAATGAAAAGCCAATTAGAAATTATTCATAAAATTAAATTCAATCCTGAAGGTATAATGAGACAGATATTTTTTCAGAGATCATATTGTATTCCAGTATTTGGGCTAAGTGATTCAGATATATTATTTTATATCCTCAAAGTAGTTAGTATTACTTCCCCTTTTGAAGAAAGATGCTCATAGAGGTTAAGTTACTTGCCCAAGTTTTCAATGTCAGTAATTCCTAGCAGCTGTGATTTCAAACTAGGCAGTTGCCATACCTGCCAGGTGTGGACCTATGCTCTTAATAATAATAATTAGGCACTATGTCAAAGATTTTATATTCATTTCATCTATTATTCATTAAGATCCTTGACTTTGGTACTATTGTCATCATCCCTGGTTTACAGTGAGAACACCGGTATTAGAAAGAGATACAGCAGCTGTGTCAATTCTTCACAGCATCCAAGGCACGGCTCCCAACCCCGGCAGTCTGGCCTGACTCCATGTGGATCCTAACCACTTCACTGCACTGCTTGTGTAGTCACACGTCAGACTTGTGTCTCTAGAGTTTTCTATAAAATGTAATGTTTATCTCTAAAGAGAAAATTTCATCCACATTGTAAACCTTCAGGAAAACCTCCTCATGTTTCCCAGTGGTTCCATGCTGAGACACATTTTCTCTGCTTTGATCAAATTTGGCTGCTGTTTTTCTGGTGTACATTAACAAAAATTTGATATAGATTGGTTTGTGTCCTACATGTATGACCAGAGCTTTGATTAGTTTCGTTTCTTAGGTAACTGAGTACATTTTTCTTTATCAAAAGTAACTAAATTATATTAGAAAATTTCCGGGCTGAGAAAACCTGACCTCAAAATTCAGCAATGATGAAAGATTATGCCTGACTGGAAAAGTTAATGATTTACGTTAATTGCTGATGTTTTATGATAAGGCTAAAGTGATTATTTTTATTCAAATACCACTTTGCTTAAAGGATAGTAATAGAAAGTAGTATGTACTTCCTTATACTGTGAATTGTGATTGGAAAGAAAATGTATTTGCTATTCAGTCTCAAAAAATATCTATATTCCAAAAACATTCATATGAAATTATAGTTGATTCTAGACCAGTGGTGCTTGGTTCAAATGTATATAAAAATTGTTGCATGAAAAAAAATCAACTCTGTATTATTCCAAGCACATTTCGTCACCTAAGTCCCTTTTACCCAAATTCAGTGCTGTATTTTATAGTGATTGACTCACAGGAGAAAGATCTGTGCCTTCTATCTTACTGCATGACCTTGGGGAAAATTGGCTTAAATGTATGAAAGGATATTTGAGGCATTGACTCAGACTAAATAAATGTGCTAAATTTGATACAGTGAGTGGGAAATTTTTCTCACCACATGGAACCACTAATGAGCTTGGGAAGTAAACATGGTTAAGTAGATATAGTTGCTTTTTTGTTACAATAATTCCGAATTGGCCTATTAGATG